CAGTTAACACAGCTTCCCAAAATGTCTCTCACTGACTTAGATTATGATGTGGAAGTGACTTCTTTCTAATCTGTTGCTTTCATTGGTTAATTAATAAAGAAACTGCCTTAGCCCATTTGATAGGCCCACCCTTAGGTGGGTGGAGTAAACAGAACAGAATAGTGGGAGAAAGAAGCTGAGTCAGTGGGTCGCCATGATTCCCCTACCGGACACAGACGCAGGTTAAGATCTTCCCTGGTAAGACACCTCGTGGTGTTACAGGGATATTAGAAATGGGTTAGATCGATATGTAAGAGCTAGCCAATAAGAGGCTGGAACTAATGGGCTAGGCAGTGTTTAAAAGAATACAGTTTCCGTGTAATTATTTCGGGGCATAAGCTAGCCACGCGGGCGGCCGGGTGCCAGGGACGCAGCCCGCAGCTCCCTATCTCAACAAGATTACTGTTTTTAGAATTCATAAATAATTTTTTTTACTTTTTAAAAATAATCACATAATTTTTCCCTTCCTCTCTCTAAATCCTCCCATAAGACCCTCCTTGCTTTCTTGCAAATCCATGGCCTTTTAAAACATTGTTATTACATTCATATATGTAACCAAGTTGTTAATATTTTAAAGATTTATTTCAGTTTTTAATTAAGTGTTATATGTCTTGAAATGTGCACATATGAGTACCGGTAACCTTAGAGGCCAGAGACATCAAATTCCCAAGAACTGGTGCTACAGGAAGCTATGAACTGTCCAATGTGGAAGCTGGAGATTCAACTCCTGTTCCCTGCAAGACCAATACGCATTCTTAACCATTGAACCATCTCTTCAACCCCCGAGATGATAACGTCCTCATATACCAGTTTCTGTTACACAGCCCTGGGTAATGATGCACTTTCTATTCAAGTCTGTTATTCTATCCATGTAAGCAATAATGTTGTAGCCTTATTAGGATGATAGCATTCAGTAAAATCAGACCTCAGCCCCTCACAGGCAGGTCCTCTCCTTCCATATTACCATAACTATCATTATGTAATGCACGTCTTTGCTGCTATGGTGTTCTCCACAATGCTTTTCAAACTGTTACTAATGCCTCAAATGAAGAACAGCGGCTTCTGCATTTTAATTTCTATCCCATTACCTTAGTATTTGCTTTTGAAATTATCTTTATCCTTGACACAAGAGGATTATCAACTATAATGGTATGTCATCGACAAATACTGATAACCTGGCTGTTATTTTTGCATTTGCCAGGCCACAGCCATTTGCATTTATCTGTTTACATCAGCTAATGCCTCAAGCACAGTGCTGTGTAATAGTAGAAGGGTATTTTTATGATTAGAAGTCAGTATCTATGAATTTAGTTTTATGTATTTGGGAATCTTAAAATGCTTCATCTTTAGAATTTGCAGTTGTTCTTGTCACTAAGCAAGTGGTGTTGTGTTCCCTTTAGTTGCTCTTTGTTATGGAAATTTGCTGTCAGTGTTATAATTTTTTATTATAGACCTTGGAATTCATCTGTTGATTATATAATAGTGTTAAATTCTCTTCTTCTTTCTTGTACACCTCCCTCAATTATCTTCCACTTTGTCAAAATTATATGTTTGTCCACTGTTTTGGGATTAGATATGAAAAGCCCCCATAATCCATTTGTAGAATTGACCCACTTAGAAAATTTAATTATTTTTTTAAAAATTTGTTCTATGCAGAGAGTTTAGTAACCTGAATGTTCAATTTTGTTTTAAAACTATATAAAATCTTTGTTATAGTATTACATAAAATTTAAATTATATTGCTATATATAAACTATGATTAAAACAAAAACAAATGTAAATGAAGCATGATTAATAAAAACTCAGAGGGAGGAATTGGGGTTCAACCTGAAGATTCGAAAAGCAAAGCAGTCAGCTCTTACCTCAACCTCAGTCTGAAATGGCAGAACAAGACCATGACTGAGAGCTGTTTTCTTCTGTTTTATAATACTCTCCAGGGCTGGGATTAAAAGTGCACACCTCTGGGATTAAAGATAGGCACAACCAGGTTTCTATGGCAACTAGTGTAGCTACTGGAATTAAAGATGTGTGTTAACACTACCTGGTCTGTAAGGCTGACCAGTGGGGCTGTTTTACTCTCTTATCTTCTGGCAAACTTTATTTATTAAAATACAAAAGAAATGTCACTGCCAATAAAAGAATAAGGAAACAAAGGGACTCATTTGTTGAAGACTTTGTCCTTAGGTGGCGATGCTGTTAAGGAGTCATTTGTGTCATGAATGCACAACAATAACCTTTGGGTTGGTCTAGCGACTCTGAAACCATATGCTCAAGTAACACTGATCTCCATTGAACTGTTGTTTAATTTTTCAAGATTTTCCACAATAATGAAAGTTGGCTAAAACACTTGCAAACCACTCTTTCAACCCCAGCCCAACCTTACTTAATTCTTGGCTCTACAAGAACTATATGCACGTTTACAACATAGGGATCTCCCACAGCCAGTTCTGCTCTGGATCTTTAATAAAGACTTTAAAAACAGAGAGTATGCCATACCCTGGATCCTCCCATGTTGAGAAAGCACCCTTAAGCCTTGTTGCTTTGGTGTCAGTGCAATCCGACGCTCTGGAACATCTTCAAAGAGTCTCTGCTGCATTGCTGCTCTATGTCTGTTCTCGGGAGCCTGAGGACTAGATTGTCTTTCTTTGGGTTTTAAGGTCCTAAAAAGTTATTGTTTGCTTATGATTTTGATGGCATCTCAGAGTTAATTATCTGGGTCAACTTTCCTATGGACAATTTCAGTTTGTTTGCTTATTTTTACATATTTAAAATCTTTGTTATTTTTATTTTGAAATGTTTTCTGGATTTCAGTTTGAAATATTAATCTATTCCAAAGCAGTGGTCAGGAATTCCCGTTGTACTGTCTGTCCAATTACTTTTGATTTGACGCTGTTCCTATTCTTGTCTTATTACTATTCCTTTAGCCCTCATCCTTCTTCAGTCCTGCCATACTGTGTTTACATCTATCTACTATCCAATGGCAAACATTTAATTTGTTCTTCCTTTCTGAGATTGTCTTGACTTTTCTTCATTGTCTTTCATGAGTCCTATCAATTCTTACAATACTGAGTCCCAACTCCTTTCTTGGTTATTTTATGTGTTTATGGTTTAAATTTCTGACTTATTTGTCATCTCTTTGTTAGGTTTGAAGCATTTACTCTTTGGTTTTCTGGATGCATGCTGTTAATTTGGTTTTGTAAAAGAGCTCGGTTCAGATGAGATGTTTGATGTGATGATCTCTTTTGCAACTGTGCCTTTTCTTTTGTTGTTTTTTTTTTAATTGATTTTTATTGAACTCTACATTTTTCTCTACTCCCCTCCCTGGCTTTTCCCTCCCTCCCTTCAACCCTCCCCCAAGGTCCCCATGCTCCCAATTTTCTCAGGAGATCTTGTCTTTTCTTTTTCCCATGTAGATTAGATCCATGTATGTCTCTCTTAGGGTCATCATTGTTGTTTAAGTTCTCTGGGATTGTGGCTTGTAGGCTGGTTTTCTTTTCTTTATGTTTAAAAACCACCTATGGGAAGTACATGTGATAATTGTCTTTCTGTGTCTGGGTTATCTCACTTAAAATAATGTTTTCTAGCTCTATCAATTTTCCTGCAAAATTCAAGATGTCATTTTGTTCTGCTGTGTAATACTCCACTGTGTAAATGTACAACATTTTCCTTATCCGTACTTCAGTATTGGAGCATTTATGTTGTTTCCAGATTCTGGCTATGACAAACAATGCTGCTATGAACATAGTTGAGCACGTGTCCTTGTGGCACGATTGAGCATCCTTTGAATATGTACCCAAAAGTGGTATGACTTGGTCTTGAGGAAGGTTGTTTCCTAATTTTCTGAGAAATCATCACACTGACATCCAAAGGGGCTGTACCAGCTTGCATTCCCACCAGCAATGTAGAAGTGTTCCCTTTTCTCCATAACCTCTCCAGCCTAAGTTGTCATCAGTGTTTTTGATCTTGGCCCTTCTTACAAGTGTAAGATGGAATCTCAGAGTTGTTTTGATTTGCATTTCTCTGATGGCTAACAATGTTGAACAGTTCCTTAAGTGTCTTTCAGCCGTTTTAGATTCCTCTGATGAGAGTTTTCTCTTTAGGTCTGTATTCCATTTTTTTTTTATTGGATTACTTGTTCTTTTGATGACCAATTTCTTGAGTTCTTTGTGTATTTTGGAAATGAGCCCTCTATCTGATGTGGGGTTAGTGTTCCTCTTCCTACAGAGCTAGATATTTCCTTCCTTACAGTTATGACATGGGAGTTTGCTCAAGCTTGCCCTCTTCTGTTTCTTCAGTGAAGTGAAGATTCTTGAAACGATGATGCTGACAATGTTAAGGGAGAGAAACGGGGTTAGCATGTTGTCATTCTCACAGGAAACTGTGTCCCTCTGGCACGCATTGGGTAGCATATAGAAAGACAATATTTGGACACTGTTGGGAACACTGGCATGTTAGACACAATCAAGAAATCTACTAAATAAATAAAGTAAATCTATTGTAAAATGAGTTAACCATAAATATGAGTTGAGAGAAAATAAAAAATAGAATAAGATCAACCAAACAGTATCATTTATCCAAATTACCAGCTTTATACTGAACCATTTGAGAAATTATATCAATAAATTGTTGATATGGAAGCCTTTGAAAATGCAAATGGGCAAAAGAAATAAAATCCAGAGAAAACAAGAGACAGTTTTTATATAAACTCATCATAATAATACCTGGGGAGATAAAAATTAATCCAAATGTTTGCAACGAAGGCTACATAGAATAAAGACATAGTTAATATTAACTTTTGGTAAGTTCCTGTTGTGGATCCTCAGAGGCGCCACACAAAATTCATAATCCAACTTTGCTGAGTAGTAGCAAGAATTGTGTGAAGAACCAGGCCTGCCCAAGTGTAACTAATTCAATACCTCCACTAATACTCAGCCTGAGCGCTCCATACTGTGTGTGTACTCCTTTTTTCCAAGTCAATTTTTGGTGTCTGATAGAGATCCGGTTACTGTGGCAACTAACATGGCCTTTCCAAGATGATAGGTGAGTCTGAACTGCACGATACAAACTGCCATTGCTGGTTTTTGCCTGATTTCCCACGAGCACAAATTCATGCTCTGTGGGGAGTAAAGACGATACGATGATTTCCACGCTCTCATTTTCTATGTCAGCTCTGGGGCCCTCTGCATTTATCTCCATAAGCAACCAAACACAGTAAAAAAAAAAAAAAGTTTTTGAGAATAAAATGTAGAGAACAAAATATTTTATGATTTGTTTCTAAGGCTGTCTTCTTCAATCTGTCCCATCTTTCCTCCATTGCTTACTTCTGTTATAAAGGTATATAACTGAAACATTCAATACTTCATAGAACTGACGAGAACTTGCCAATGAAAAAACTAACTAGACTCTATCTTAAGTATTAAGATGGAGAGGAATACAGAAGTGAGACCTCAGACACGGGACATCCCACTGTCTTTCAGAAGAGAAATTGCTTCAGAACAAGATTTATTCACACCCTAGAAGTTTGGATGAGAGTCAGCTAGAGTAGTGGGGAGGACAAGATCTGCGGGACAGTGGGAAACCTGACTCCAGGAACAGGAGACCATATGAGCAATTGAGGTGTTTAAATTGACTGGAGATAGAAGCCCTCAACCCCAGAGGGAGAAGGCAAAGCTAGGATGGTGCCCTCACCACCAGGACCCCACAGCACTTTCTTTTGCTGTCCTTCAAACACGATAAGCACATTTGCACTTGGCAACGTTGTTCCTGTGCTGTGCCTATCACATAGCCATGCATTCCTACCCCCTTTCATCCATGTGTCTTCTCAACACTGCTCCTACAGGCAACCTTCTTGAGTACCACGCATCATGCCTGCCATGGTGGGCTTTGTATTCTTCCTCACTCTTGTTGTGCCACCCTCACTGTTTTCCACTGTTGTACATACTCATTTGACTCTTTAGTGGTGGACTTTACTACGATAGACACTTTACTTTTTCATTGTTCTGTCTTTAGAACTTAGAATTTTACATAGTAATTGTTATTTACAGTTGATTATATTGTCCTGCTTTAGTTTTGTTTTTCTCAATTTGACTCAAGCTAGGGTTATCTGGGAAGATGATCCTTAATTGAGAAAATACTCCATTAGATTGCTGGTTGACAAGTCAGTGGGACTCTTTAATTAATAACTGATGTGGGAGGGCCTAGCCTACTCTATACAGTTCCACCTCTGGGCATGTGGCCCTGGAGTATATAAGGGAAGTGAAAGACCAGGATAAATTCAGAACCCTCTAGCAGAAAGAGTAGAGCCAAAAAAAAAAAAAAAATCTAGCAGAGAGAGAAGAACCAAAAATCTAAGTTAGCCAGTTCAGTGACTCTTTTTCTAGAACTAGCTGATCATAAAGTTAGATTATAATCTTGAGAATAATCATGAGAAACAAGGAGTTACCTTCTTGTGATTATCACTAATATTTTCGGGATTTTCCAATGACGCCCTCCCTACCCCCTTTGGGTTATTGGGTTATGGTTTCTTCCCTTAAATACCCCTTCTTCCAGCTATTCGGGGTCAAATTCTACCCCTGCATGGGAAATAAATTTGGCCCCAGTGCACTGGTTCCTATCCTGTCAATAAACCTCGTGTGATTACAGCAAGGACGGTCTCTCATGAGTTCCTGGGGGATCATGATATCCCGAAACTTGAGTGAGAGTCTTCCTACCCCAGGGGTCTTTCAGAAGTATATATAAGGAAGCAGATTGAGCAAGCTACATGGAGGAAAGGAGTAAACAGTGTCCTCCACGATCTGCTTCAATTCCTGCTTCCAGGTTTCTGCCTTGAGTTTGTGCCCTTACTTTCTATCTTTGATGCTCTGTAAGCTAGAAAGTTAAATAAACCCTTTTCTCACCAAGTTGCTTTTGCCCACAGTCCTTATCCCAGTAGGAAGCAAACTCAGACCTATGCGAATGGCTGATGAACTTGACTATAAGCAGTTGGGAGTTTATCTAAGTGAAACTGGATGGGCTTGGTAGTGATACGAAGTAGACTAGCATGCTATCCTTTGTGTTTTAGATTTCACTCAAAGTGGAGCTTGGATTAGAAGTAGCAGACCACAGAGAGAGAGCAGCCAGTTCAGAGCATGTGTGACTGACTGAACAGGAGCAGCATGAGAGATGTGCCTCTTGATGTCTTTCTTGAAAGAACACAATAGAGGGCAGTTACTATACAACTGCAAAGAAACGAAAACATAAGAGATTAAGACCTGAGTCGGTGGTAGACTATTATGACAAAATGCCCATTTTCTGAGTTTTAGTGATTAAATAGTTAGGGCTTATACAAATAGAGAGGTGGCATCAAGAGACTCCTGGGTCACAGTCTGGGCTCCCTTCTGATTAACTGCAACCAGGGAGCCTAGACACTTGGTGGGATGTGCCTCAGTGAGACGGGTAGGCTCCGGGGTATACCTGGCTGGCCATGGCCTATCTACCCTCCTGACATCCGGCAGAGGTTATTAGATGGGGGGGGGATGGGTCATTGCGAAGGTGGTCAGTGCCTACTGCGGCTTAAGAGGGTCATTACCTAAAGAGTGAGCCTGTCTGTTAAGGGTCCATGGCCTCACCATATGTAATGATCAAGCGAGTCATGGGATGTCCTCTCGGAGGCCGCCACCTGCGAGAGCCTGGAAGGAGTTCCTTGCCAGTTATCTTTTCCTCGCTAGATGAGCCCTCCAAGCTTCCAGGGTTCTGGGTAGGTGTGGAGATTCTTCATAGCTTGGAGTCAAGGTGTCCCAAGGTGGAGCAGTGTCCGAGATCTGTCCCCTACAGCCCCGTCTCCGCTCCACTCCCAGCTCCACTCAGCACTGCCTCCTGGGCCTTTATTGCCCATAGGAAACAGGTAATCGTTTTGCTTCTCCACCCCAAAGGGTGATGCCCTGTACCTGAGTCCTATGCTTAGCTCTGCCTTCCAATCCCAGTCTAAGCAGCAGCAAAGCCCATCTGGCATGGCCGCCTGGCCCAGACTGAGCTTGACTCTTGAGAATTTGGCACTGTGAGCCGAAAAGCTCCAGACCTTCGGGTTCCAGGGCTTGAACTGAAGTCCTACTGAGTCCCCATGATTCTGGGCCACGGCCTGTGCCTGCCCAAGCCACACATGCGACCCCTGTGTTGGTTTCATGGTTTCATCTGCCCAGCCCCTGCAGCTGTGCTTGGTTCTACCTGCCCCGACTGGCAACGATGCCCTCAACATCACCCCTTCTGCCAGTATTTTGGGATACAAGTAAAGGAAGCACAATCTCCACTGCAGCCATCACCAACCTCAAGGGTTCCCCTCAAATTTTAGGGACCTCAACTCAGGATGAATCAGGATTCTTGGCTTCATCACTGTAAAGAATTTGAGGACTACAAAAGATTGGAGCTTTTATTAAAGTTTTTTTTTTTTCTGTTTTTCAAGACAGGGTGTCTTTGTGTAGCCTTGGCTGTCCTGGAACTAGCTCTTTGTAGACCAGGCTGGTCTGAAACTCAGAGAGATCCGCCTGCCTCTGCCTCCGGAGTGCTGGGATTAAAGGCATGTGCCACCACTGCCTGGTTTACTAAAGAGTTTTTTATATAGGGCTTAGGCAAGAGGATTGGAAGAAAAAGAGGTGCTCAGAGAAAGTAAGTCATGCTCAAGTGTGGGTGCGGGCCCTCGAGGGACAGACACAACTCATTGTTTTTGCAAGGCATATACAGGATTCGGGTGGAGCTAAAAGCCACTGTCTTATCACTGGGTGGTTCCCGAGAGGCACTGGACAAGCTTACGCTGGGTGCACAGGGCACAGGAAAGCCCAGTAGGCACATAATGTACAGGAAAGCAGGACACCTTCTCTGTAGCCTTGTTTGAGACTCTGGTATTCTGAGGTCTATGGAGCCTTCAAGAAGAAGATCATGGCTAACTGAAGTAGGTGACTTGGGTGGAATTTTGAAGGTTATGCCCATTTTGGGTTCTGACTGTGTCTCTGTAAGGTCCTGCCACCATGAACTATTCTCCATTTGACATGATGCATTGAGATGCCCCTGAAACGAAGAGCCAAAATGAATCCTTCTGCCCTCAAGTCGCTTCTGTCAAATATTTTTGACAGAGTGACAAGAATATGAACCAACACATGTGAGGAAGAAAAGCTAGGCAGCCAGTCTAGACCTTAATGGATAAAAGGTCAATGTTAAGAATGAGACAGGTTAGGAGTTGGCCAACTGGACCTTTATCTGAGGCACAGGGAAGCCACTCAGGGACAATCATCAAAGCAGACACACAATCCAATTTACTTAAAGCATGATTCTGGTTATTGGGAAAGACTTTA